ATAGATATTCATGTTTGAAATCAAGTGTTTCTAAACACAAACAGCTTTTAATATTGCAGAATATTTACACTAAAAGTTTTGCCCTGAATGTTTTATATTTTATACGAATATTTGAAAAACAAAACTCTTATAAAACGGATTAAAATTGTGCTATCAATTACGATATGTACTAATTATATAAAGTCAAAGTTTAAGGTTAAGGTTAAGTGAGCGTACGTAATCATGTTTGAATCCAAAAACTTGAAATTACTTTGAGAAATACCGTACTATGACTGGTATCTTAAATCTGAAGAATTCAACCAATTATTAACAAAATAAAGGAATTTAATTATCATTTTCTATAAGATTATTATATAATATATAAGTATTAAAAATATATATATTTATAACTTATACTGTATTTGATAAATTCACACAATCATAATCAGTGCATAAATGCAATGAATAACAATTACCAATAAAACAATGATAAAAACCAATACCGGTACTTATACTGTACTGTACTATACAGTATATCGTATAAGTTTATAAATATGAAATTAAAGCCAAAAATAGTAGAGAAAGTGAAACGTTATGAGCATTATTTGGTCACACATTTGGTTTATAAGTTACACATTATATAACACATGATAATCAAAATAAAGTCAATAATTGCTTCGCTTTCTCACAATTCCAACCCAAGTCCTTGAAGTGATTGTCCACACAATTGACATACAGATTAAGACAATGTTTGGCGCATTCCTCGACATCGAAACCGGTGAACAGGTATAGGCGCCAGTGATTCGAGTATTTCTGATACCAGACACACATTTCCGACAAATACATCAAAGATAGCAAATGATTGTCACTAAAGATATTGTTGGCTATCAATGATTCACTGGTGTTGAGCAACACATCCTCCGTGCCCTTAATGGTCACCTCAAAGGGCTGTCGTTGGCTGAGAAACAGTCGGAACCACTGCATGCCTTCAATCAAGTACTGCAACAACTTATGTCTCACTTCTTCGTCCGCCAATTCGCTCGAGTCTTCAATTTGGAGGCAATTGTTGATAAGGGCTGTCGTTGGCTGAGAAACAGTCGGAACCACTGCATGCCTTCAATCAAGTACTGCAACAACTTATGTCTCACTTCTTCGTCCGCCAATTCGCTCGAGTCTTCAATTTGGAGGCAATTGTTGACGAGTTTGAGACCACCATTGAGTTTACAGTTGCAAAAGGCGTACAAAAGACCCGCTTTTCGCCACAGAAGACATTCGCTGATATCGGTGCCCAACACTGTCTTCACGGACCGGAAGTCGTTTGCTGTCACCAGAGGTTGGCTCCGCTCTTCATCTCTGGTCTGTGGGCTGTCGTCCACCTCATCGCACAACTGTCTGATGCCGTCCAACAGATAGACGATTGAATTCATCACTTTCTCCGAGTTCTTGGTCTTGAACTCATCCGACGTGATCACCAACTCTTGATCCCATGTGATCGACAGCACGGCCTTCGCGTACCTCTCGATCGTGTCCACCAATTGGCGCTCGTTTTGGTCTGAATTGCATTTGTTTTGATTGCAATCAATCCTCAAGACATTCAACTCCTTCGCCAACTCATCCATCGATGCAATCAATGGTTGAATACTGTCTTGAATTGAGTTTTAATTTGAATGTCAAATCAATTGCTGTTTCCAAACACATCCCATAAAACAGACAAAAACTTTGTGTCAAATTGTGTCCACAACTCATACATTACGTGACATACAAACCGATGGGCGATATATTTGCTGTATATTTCTCTGTATATGTAATACTAAAACATGTAAAAGGGATGCAATTATATGTGTAATAAGTAACTGTATTTGTGTATATTAAATAAAATACTCAAATGTCAATCAAAACTAATGTGAAATTAATTGTTTATTTGATAATTAATATTGAAAATTGAATTTTTGTCCACAACTGCGATCAGAAAATAAGTGATAATTAAGTGTAAAGTATGCGTGAATTGCACAGAAAACGAGTTAATGTTAGCCGTAATAGTAGTGAGCGTTGAGTGTGTGAGCAGTGAATGCCATCTGAAGTGTATTCACGTGTTTATCGGCGACTGAAGGCATTCATTGAATGCTTGCTTTCACTTCATGTTTACAATCGGCTCTCAAAACGTAAACAAAAGCTGAACTGAAAAGCGATTTATTTGTCTCTAAATTATCGCAATTTGTTGATTCAATTGCTGTTATATTTGGCAAACAATGAACACATTTCTGGTGAACAGGTTTGCGCCGAAAGTCTGTTTGCAAACCGCAGTAAACCTGTGGAGTAGTGGACGACAGGCCATCAATAGGTCCCGACATGTGTTGAGCATCAATAGGACAGTCGTGTCGAGCGGACAGTTGGCCGCCGTTTGCAACCGCTTCTACACCACAATCACGTGCAGGAGGGACGGCACTGACGGTGGACGGACTGGTCTGACGGTTCGGCCGTGTGCTGGGGACGTATGGGTGCGAGGGATGGCCCACAAACTGCCCCTCACTTACGACTTCATACGCGAACGGATCCTATTATTGCTGAAACTGTACGATAAGATCGACCCCCAGAAGCTGTCACTAGACTCCCACTTCTACAAGGACTTAGGGCTGGACTCATTAGATCACGTGGAGGTGATTATGGCCATTGAGGACGAGTTCCACTTCGAGATCCCCGACTCGGACGCCGAGAAACTGCTCACTCCTCGCGATATACTTAAGTATATCTCCGACAAAGAGGAGGCCTATGAAGGCCTACAGACCGACGACCACAACGAACACCATTAGAGATGATAATTGCAGTCACCGCTAGTTTGTAGTGATAGTAACGCTGACCACCATTTGTTTGCCGTTTGTGGTCAACCAATCAAATAACAGTCATATTAATAGCCATTCATTTGATTAATAATTTTCGAGTTATTGTTTTAAATATTATCTTAAATTCAAAAACTGTTTATTGATTTGAAATCTATAATTATATAATTATTCTGTGGTTTTATATTGAAATATAGATAATTAATTCAAACTTTTTTCAATTCTCAATCTTTGTATTGAAGTTTGCGTTAATTTAATTACATTATAAATAATTATACGACAAATAAAAGAGTTTGTATTGAATCCTATTTGTTAGGTCTTATAGTCGATTAAAATAATAAATCTTTTTTTAATTAAATTTAAATTAAACTTATTTTTTATTCAATTTTTATATTTGGCTGACCTTTGAAGCCAAACATTTCACACAATGCTTTTCAAATGCAGTTATGCAATTGCATTCACATATCACGTGCCATTGTTTGCCCCCGTTTTATAATCTATTGACTGATAAGGCAATAACCTGAAGCACTGCTAAAAATAGACGACTTCCCCCTCCCCTCCATATATGACACGTTTTATGTGATGAATAGTCACTTATTTGAGACATAATTGATGTGATATTTGTTATGGATTTTCAATTTTACTCATTTTGGGATCAATTCAGTGATTCAATGGTTTGAGTGAAGATATCTTCGGACTGCGAGCGATGTCTGAACCCGAGGGCGACGCCATTGACTGGCGGTTACTGGACTTACCCGAAGACACGGATTGGGACCAACTGTACGACCGGTTCACAGCACATCCCGAAGAGTTGAAGGCATTGGTGAAGACTAAAGTGGATGAAGTGATGGACAAAGTGGTGGAGAAAATGGTGCAACAGATCAATGAAGTGAAGGCCAAGAATGCAGAGTTTGATGCACTCATCAAAGAGTATGAAGACAAACACAAACACCACAAGTAATTCATGCCTTTCCCTAACTTATGATTTGATTTGCAAATGTCTTGATTCATGATTATCATGGATCAGTTAAAGTGATAATATTTGCAAATTACTATTATTATCATATCGTATACATATTGCAATGAATTGTTCAATTGTTTGTCTAATAGGACCACAACTATCACTGAAACCATATATTATGACTCGGAGTACACCTATTACTCGGAACCCATTCAGAGGGTTATCGATATCAATGAGTTGAGGGAACGGATGCAGAGATTGGACACCGAAAGAGCCCACGGAAATGATGACAAGAGTGGCACTGAAGTGAGTGTCGAATCTGAAGACAATGTCTCGAAAGCATCAGAAGAGACACAAACCGATAATAACGACGAGAACCTGGAGCTGTCGGTCATCTATGAGGGCACCACCACTGCCACCAAAATAGATCATAAGTTTATTCCCAAAGAATTCCATCGCCAGTAAGTCTCATATTTAAATTGATTGAAGTATACAATGAATGTAATGTCAATTGAATTGTCTTCAGACCCCTTAAGGTGAAGAGCAAAGTGTTCGCCGCTTCCAACGGAATAGTGACCCACAGCTGGAAATCGGCCGAAATCGTCAAAATCGTGAGCTTTTGTAATGTTTCGGTCACTTTCGAGGATAAGTCCATAATTGGTGGCAATTTGTTGGCCAACAGTTTGGTTGCTTATTCCGAGTCAAACAATTGTATTCTTCAGTTCGGAGAACGGGTTATCGGTTAGCACTCATTCCCGACACTCCTTTCCCTTTACTGTCTATTATTGCCTTTAAATTATCGGTAGTTATACCGTATTGTGATTGTGTTTATATCTAAAGCCTATATTGACGACACCAGTGGTCACCGAGAACTATATTCGGGAACCGTTGCAGAGCCGGCGAAGTATACAAACAATTTCCGATTCTTAATATTCTTTGATAAACACGCCTATCATTACGTCAAACGAGAGGATATTTTTCATATCTACGATCGAGTGTCTGGTATTTTGATTGACATTGAATTTTTAAAATTTGGTTTTTAACACAATTTCATCACTCATTCAGTGGACACCGTATTCCCAGATAAAGACAAAAACGTGAACACAGAAGTTAAAGAATACGCCGACTTCTTAAGGGATTATATCCGCAATTATCCCGAGAGACCAATGGTTAGGCTTCAGAAGGGCGACGATCGCATTAAAGTCAGATTTGATGGCAAATGGTATGTAATTTGTAAATTTGTTTACTATTTTTGGGACAATTAGTTCTTATATTTTACTTATTTTAGGGAAAACGCGAGGGTTTTGGAGATCGACTCGAGTCTAGCGCTCATAGAATTTTATAAACTTAATAAACCTTTCGCCGAATGGATATACAGAGGCTCTCGAAGACTATACGACATCTACAAAGAGTGTCAAACATCCAAATCCAATGTCAGACATCACGGCCGGTCCACCACTAGAGTGACAACACGACGATCCGATAACCGGCCGCACGTCGAGTGGGATAATGACGAGGAGAAGGAGAACAAAGAACAGACGGCGAGCGCCGCCATCGACGACGACATACAGATTGTGCCCAAAGAAGAGGTCAATCGGAAGCGAAAGTTTAAGCAAACGGCCCGCAAATCGACCGCTAAATTCTCGAGCGCTGTGTCCATCGATCCCATGAGACTCATAGACAACGAGCTCTTTAATCCGTCAGAAATATCTGTCGAGCAGTTCCCGGACTTGACTCGAGTTACGCCAAGAGATTATTTAAGCCACAAGTGTTCACCAAATTGTGTTTTCGGTATTTGAAATTTTACTTTTGATAAATTTTGGTCAAATTATTTGATTTTATTTGTATTACAGCTGATGTGGAGTCGGATGGCTTTGTAGACATAAATCCATTTCATATCCCGATTATTGTCGGTTATCGGAGAGAGATTTTGCGGACAAACGATAAAAGAGTTCGCGTCCTCTACCGCGCGCCCTGTGGTCGACGCCTGAGAAGCATCGAAGAGGTCTTGAATTATCTGTTGATTACAAATTCGGTTCTCGACATCGATTTGTTCACATATTCTCCTGGCTTTGCGTTGTGCCGTAAATCGAGTGCTCTTAGAGTTTTATATCACGTCTCAGACATTGCCAACGGTTTAGAAAAGCAGCCCATCTCTTGTGTTAATACTGTCGATAAGACAGACTTAGGGACCGTTATCTATAAAGCCGATCGCTTTCCACATCCGGATGTCAACTTCAAACCCGATCCTGAATTCCTGTCGTGTTGTGACTGTGAGGATAACTGTATGAACAGCAGTACCTGTGCCTGTCAACAGCTGACCCTCGAGACCAGTGATGCCGTCAGAATGGTATGCCCCCCCCCAGGTCAGCTCCTCGTAAGCCATGATATCTCTACGCAAATGCCAATTAAACATTATTTACAATATTTATTAAATATATAATGATTTTGAGACAAACTTCGGACGCCCCCCCCCCACTCAACCATTTGTATGGATTTGCATTAATTACGATAAAATCTATTTGCAGTCGAAGTATCAATATTTCGGTTATGAACACAAACGCCTCAATGACTTCATAATGACGGGAACATTTGAATGCAACCAAAGGTGTCCATGCAATCAGCGCTGCCCTAATCGAGTCGTTCAGAATGGCATTAAATGTCGTTTACAACTGTTTAAGACGTTGAAGAAGGGTTGGGGCGTCCGAGTGCTTCATGACGTACCCCGAGGTTTGCTTTCTGTTAGCCGTTAAGCAATTATCGGTAGTAATGAATGTGTGTTTGTTTTGATGACATTTAGGGACATTCCTCTGCACATACGCGGCGCAGGTTCTCAACGAAGAGGCGGCCGACAAAGAGGGCAAGACTTTTGGTGACGAATATTTAGCTGATTTGGATTATATCGATGTCTGTGAGACTCAAAAGGAAGGCTATGAGAGCAGTGTTGAGATGAGTGATGACGACAGTCAGGAGTATGAGGAGGAATCAGATGATGACGACGAAGATGATGATAAGGACTTCACGTGTTACGGGAGCTCCGGCTCTGGAATCTCTATCCGAGAAGTGGGTTCAAAGGGACGGAGTACTACTTCTGGAGGTAATGATTGCGAGCCAGCATTGATTCAGCAAATGTTTGACTGATTGGGTGTTTAGGTCGGCGTCGAAATGACGACAAATCAAAGTTCAAGTACTCAATCAGAAGCGACTTTTTCAAAGAGGACTTCTGCTATTCACTCGACGCCAAAAAGATGGGAAATATCGGCCGATATCTGAACCACTCGTGCGATCCCAACTGTTTCGTGCAAAACGTTTTCGTCGATTCACACGATTTGCGGTTCCCTTGGGTTTCGTTTTTCGCCAAAAAGTTTGTCTCAAAATCATTATATATTTAATAAATATTGTAAATAATGTTTAATTGGCATTTGCGTAGAGATATCATGGCTTACGAGGAGCTGACCTGGGATTACAACTACGAGATCGGGTCCATTCCGGGCCGTAAGATGTACTGCTATTGTGGCGCCAATCGATGCAAACGTCGATTGCTTTAAGACTTTTGATTTAAGTGATAATTAATTTTCATTCAAATTATTTGATAATTAAATAATCCATTTTATACATGTATTATAATTCATTAAATTTATAACGCAATTATTTATATAGTTCAAGCTTACAAATAATTTTAATAAACTAATTTTAATACCACTGAGTTGTGAGTGAATCTATATTTAAATTTATTAAAAACTTAAATACAAATTGACAAAAGAGTTGATCACTGTTTGGGTTAGACTTACGAAGGCTTAAGAATTATTCTCAAAAATATAAGAATTTGCAAAGAATTCAAAAGTTATCAAAGGTTTGCCGCTTTGGGTAAATAAATAAGTGATACAAACAAGTGTTAAGAAAAAAGATTTTTTAAACTTTCTATTGAGAATCAAATGGGAAAACATTTGTTAGCAAACATAGCAAACAAACTCAAAGCAAAATAGAGGACACTATACGAGAAATGTAATAAAATTTAAGCCCACATTAAATGCTAATAATCGTAATTTATCGCAAACTAATATTTGCACTACTATTTAGCGGTCTATTCACACATTCATGAGCGCCGGTAGTAGTGGTGACACTACATTACAGTACAAACCATTAGTGNGTCTATTCACACATTCATGAGCGCCGGTAGTAGTGGTGACACTACATTACTGTACAAACCATTAGTGGGACTCAATGTTTATCATTGTGTAAGAAATCAGACAATAATTTCTCTTCAAATAAAAGGTAGAAAAGAGTCGACACAACAGAACGAGAAGAAAATAGGAGCCAAAAGAGCAAAAAATGGTCAATGATTTGACAAATAATATGCCACCAAAAAACTAGGCGAATGTTAAACATGTTT